CTCTACATAGAACACCCTAAAGATTCTACCAGAAAATTACTAGAGCTAATCAACGAATACAGTAAAGTTGCAGGATATAAAATCAACACACAGAAATCTCTTGCATTCCTATACACGAACAATGAGAAAACAGAAAGAGAAATGAAGGCAACAAAAAGAATAAAATACTTAGGAGTATATCTACCTAAAGAAACAAAAGACCTATACATAGAAAACTATAAAACACTGATGAAAGAAATCAAAGAGGACACAAACAGATGGAGAAATATACCGTGTTCATGGATTGGAAGAATCAATATTGTCAAAATGGCTATACTACCCAAAGCAATCTATAGATTCAATGCAATCCCTATCAAACTACCAATGGTATTTTTCACAGAGCTAGAACAAATAATTTCACAATTTGTATGGAAATACAAAAAACCTCGAATAGCCAAAGTAACCTTGAGAAAGAAGAATGGAACTGGAGGAATCAACCTGCCTGACTTCAGCCTCTACTACAAAGCCACAGTCATCAAGACAGTATGGTACTGGCACAAAGACAGAAATATAGATCAATGGAACAGAATAGAAAGCCCAGAGATAAATCCACATACCTATGGTCACCTTATCTTTGACAAAGGAGGCAAGGATATACAATGGAAAAAAGACAACCTCTTTAACAGGTGGTGCTGGGAAAACTGGTCAACCACCTGTAAAAGAATGAAACTAGAACACTTTCTAACACCATACACAAAAATAAACTCAAGGTGGATTAAAGATCTAAATGTAAGACCAGAAACTATAAAACTCCTAGAGGAAAACATAGGCAAAACACTCTCCGACATAAATCACAGCAGGATCCTCTATGACCCACATCCCAGAATTTTAGAAACAAAAGCAAAAATAAACAAATGGGACCTAATGAAACTTAAAAGCTTTTGCGCAAAAAAGGAAACTATAAGCAAGGTGAAAAGACAGCCCTCAGATTGGGAGAAAATAATAGCAAACGAAGCAACAGACAAAGGATTAATCTCAAAAATATACAAGCAACTCCTCCAGCTTAACTCCAGAAAAATAAATGACCCAATCAAAAAATGGGCCAAAGAACTAAACAGACATTTCTCCAAGGAAGACATACAGATGGCTAACAAACACATGAAAAGATGCTCAACATCACTCATTACCAGAGAAATGCAAATCAAAACCACAATGAGGTATCATTACACGCCAGTCAGGATGGCTGCTATCCAAAAGTCTACAAGCAATAAATGCTGGAGAGGGTGTGGAGAAAAGGGAACCCTCTTACATTGTTGGTGGGAATGCAAATTAGTACAGCCACTATGGAAAACAGTGTGGAGATTTCTTAAAAAACTGGAAATAGAACTGCCATATGACCCAGCAATCCCACTTCTGGGCATACACACCGAGGAAACCAGATCTGAAAGAGACACGTGCACCCCAATGTTCATCACAGCACTGTTTATAATAGCCAGGACATGGAAGCAACCTAGATGCCCATCAGCAGACGAATGGATAAGGAAGCTGTGGTACATATACACCATGGAATATTACTCAGCCATTAAAAAGAATTCATTTGAATCAGTTCTAATGAGATGGATGAAACTGGAGCCCATTTTACAGAGCGAAGTAAGCCAGAAAGATAAAGACCATTACAGTATACTAACACATATATATATGGAATTTAGAAAGATGGTAACGATAACCCTATATGCAAAACAGAAAAAGAGACTCAGATGTATAGAACAGACTTGTGGACTCTGTGGGAGAAGGTGAGGGTGGGATGTTTCAAGAGAACAGCATCGAAACATGTATATTATCTAGGGTGAAACAGATCACCAGCCCAGGTTGGATGCATGAGACAAGTGCTCGGGCCTGGTGCACTGGGAAGACCCAGAGGGATCGGGTGGAGAGGGAGGTGGGAGGGGCTACCAGGATGGGGAATACATGTAAATCCATGGCTAATTCATTTCAATGTATGACAAAAACCACTGCAATGTTGTAAAGTAATTAGCCTCCAACTAATAAAAATAAATGGAAAAAAAAAAGATTAAGGTAAGACATCACTATATAGTTTCAAGAGAAATTTGCATTTCAAAAAGATTATTCTGGCTGCTGTGTGGAGAACTAATCAAGAAACCCCAGGCTGAATAATCACTATTGCAGTGGTTTTGGCAAGAGATTATGGCAGTTTAGAAAAGACTGCTTATGTCGACGCAGGGGAAAGGATGGATTTGACGGGTGTTTGGGAGATAAAATTGGTAAGACTTAACAATAATCTGGCTACACAAGTATGAAGGTGTAGGAACAAATTAGCCAAGGTGGTGGTGGTCAAGCTCTCTCGCCCCCACGGCCTCTCGCTATTGCCCCATGTTTTGTAAATACATGGTTATGTAACGGCTGAGATCACTTACAGCACTGAGCATGCATGTCAAGATGTACCCGCTTGGTCACCGGCCACTTTTGCTCTGTAAACATATATAAGCTCCATCTGAAAAGCCGTTGCAGCTACATTATAGCAGTGTCCACTGGGTCAACCATGAGAGAATCCAGTGTATCTGCTGTTATGGTTGCTATGCCAGTCAGCAGAGAATAAACATGTCTGCAGTTTCTATGGCTCCTTGAGCTTTCTTCCAGCTTTCCTGCTCGTGCCTTGCCTACCCTGGGTTCAGTGAACAGTGTAAACAGTGAGGAACAGTGAGGCAGAAGCACATTAAGAAACCAAGAATAAAGATTAGATTTCAAATTTTCATCACAAGTGGTTGGAGTTACTTACTAAAGTGAAATATGGAACACTGGAGAAGAATCAGAGGTGATAACCATGCATTTCATTTTAGGCCTGCTGAGTTTGAAGTGCTTGTGAGCTATCCAAGACCTATCTTGGAGATGCATATAACAAAGCTCAAAGGTAAAGCTGGATGGAGCTATACATTTAAGAGTCATAAGTGTGACATAAGTGGCAAAAGTCGTAAGTGGTGGCAAAACCACAGCTATGAATGAGATCATATTCAATTACACAGTAAAAAGGAGATTTGGAGTTAAGAAACTACCCTACCCTTGGTGGGTTGGACAAAGGAGGATGAGTCCCTCAAAAAGAAAAGGAAAAAACAGCTTTTTTGGATTTTGAACCATACTCGTAAGTTCTCATTTTTAAAAAATTTTGATTTAAATCAGTAATCTTAGAATGTTGAAGGCTTCCCAAATTAAACCAATTTATCAGAACTATCTTTTCAAAGATAGGTCACTTTCAGAAACCATCTGGAAAAATCACAGTACCATTCTACTTGCTGCTTGAAAATACATCAATATACAAAAAGCTATCTCTTCCAAAATATATATGACTTTGGCTTATTACAGTTTCCTGAAATTACCTTCTCTTTCTTTCGCTCAGGGCTTCACCATATGCTGTTCTTCTGGCCCTCTTTCCCCGAGATGAAGATTTCCCTAACTTTCCAAAACTTGGCTAAGTGATCTTTTTCCTGTCCATCCCAATAATGTCATAGTGCTGTATGTTTAATGTGTGTACTGTGTGTTTAACCATTAATTAGATGTCTTTTACACTGTTGTATATTTAGTACCTAATAAGGCTAAATTTTCAGAGACACATCTATTCTGCAACTTTAAAGAGTTAAAATCTAATTTGGTTATCAGTCCATCGTCTGGCGTGCAGCAGGCCAGGGGGTCTCAGAGTCAAAAAGACGGAGCCACTGAACAACCACTAGACAACCCTTCAAACGGTGACCTTCCTCTAGAGGAATGACTCAAATGATAATCTGTAAACAAACGACTGAATCTTTAAAACATACTAAATTCTGGAGATTCTTTTCATACGGTATCCTTAAGGCCTGCAAAAATTCATATATAGGAATACCAGGGATTCTTTCCCCTTTAGTCTCATACAAAATGGATTTGACAGCTCTCTTTGAATGCCTGGTTTGGGATGTCATTTCAGCAAGTAAAGCACAGAACACCCCTGCACAATGGCAAAGACGGCAAGTGCACAGGGATACCAAATCCATCAGACGCCAGCCCGCTGGACAGGACGGAAGCAGAGGCAGCAGCGTGGAGCACCGGTTCCCACAGCATCCCCCTTGTCTGGCCTTACGCCGCAAGCTCCGACCCTCAGGATAGCGACCATTTCCAAATCGTCGCCTCGACGCGGGAGAATTGGGCACCCGGACTAGTCCTTCCCAACGTAGATTACTCATATAAGTCCCTGGACTAAGGCTTACAGTCCTGGATGGCTTGGTTTCTAAAATCCCAGAAGAAATGGAGGAAGGGAAAAAATCCTGTCAAAGAAAAGTGGCAGCCAAGCCCACAGTGCTCACCAAGCCGACGCTCTCAGTCAATCTTTGTCAGCGCTAACCGTTGGCTCGCAGGCCGCCAAAGGCAATGTCGCAGTGGCTCTTGGGGGCTGTAGTTTCTGTCGCAAACGAAAGGCTCAGGCAGAACCCAAACTACCTTTCCCAGAAGTCAATGCGAGCACTCCCTGCTTCCTCAAATCTGGGGTTTGGCGTAATAAAGACTGTTCTTATTTTTAGACTGACCTTAAACTTAGATTCAGGCACTTCCAGGTGTACGTCTGTGCACACTTTCTTTTCCCTGTTTGTGTTGTCTGTGATAGCGTACTTCAACCTCCCCTTACTTTCTTTTTTCCCCCTTTTTCGGTCTAAAGAATCCAAAAGCCAGGAGATAGAAAACGCTCCCCGGCGCAGATTAAGTGCCTCTTAAGGCGCATGCGCCTTGCTCGCTGTCACGCTTGCGTAGCAACCGGCGGCGGTTGGCGGCCGCGCGCGGACTTGGGGTTTGGAGGTAGCCTGTGGGTGGGCGGGGCTTTTTCCAATGGCTTTGCCTCCGCGGGTCGCGTCTACTAGGGCGGGGAAGAGGGCGCAGGGGCAGGGGCGGCTCCTACTTTGTGCCGGGCGGAGAAAGGGGAGGGGCTGGGGGGTGAGGACCCAGTCTTCCCTCCCCGCTCCCGCCCTCTGGGCCGAGCTCCACAGATGAGGCTGGGCGAAGGGGTGGGCTCTGCGCCGCGGGCCCCGCCGCTCCGCCAGCTTCGCGGCCCAGCCCCGCGCTCGGGGATTGCGGGGCTGCCCTGTGCCCGTCTGGCTTGGAGGGCGGTGGGCGAGGACGCAAGGATTGGAACAGAAGCGGCGTCTGCCCAGGGCACCCGGAACCGACAGGGCCGGAGACGCTTTTCCTCCAACGCTACCGAGACAGCGGCTGCAGAAGGCTACCGCCCCCCGGGAGTGTCAGGGTCTCTGGCCGTGGCGGCCAGCGAGCCAGGGTTCGGCAAGCCAGCGCCCGGCCGGGAGGGAGGAGCTGCGGAAGGCGGGGACTGGTGCCGGAGGAGGGGCGGGGACTGGTGCCGGAGGAGGGGCGGGATGGGAACGCTCCCGAGAACACCGTGGCCGCACTGACAAAAAACACCGAATGGCTGGAGAGCGTTCAACTGTTACCAGCCTTTTTGGGCAGAGCACGGGTTTGACAGCTCCCCAACGTGAGGATATCCGCTGACCCCGCGGGTCGCAGGAGAACACTTTCCCGACACTGGCTGTGCAGCAAAGCCAGAGCTGTAAGGTTTCAACTTGCCAACTTTTTTCCCCGAGTCTCTGGACAGAAGACTGCCCCTCCGGGTAGAACGAGAGGGCGAGCTCTGTCTTGTAGCTCGAAGAGACGCTTCTGGTTCCAAATGTCACCCAGACGTGTTTTTTCATGACGATTCTAGTTCTCTGATTTCATTCTTACGTTTCTCGTTTTAAAAAATATAAAGTGCTTTGGGGGGGCATGCTGAAAGTTAACTGAAGACGGCAAAGAAAAAACTCCACCGTAGTCATGGCTGAAGGAGAGAATGAAGTGAGATGGGATGGTCTGTGCAGTAGAGATTCAACTACTAGAGAGACAGCTCTGGAAAACATTAGGCAAATCATTGTGAGAAAAACCGAGTGTCTTCGTTTGGTGAAAGAGACACCTTATCGTCCATCAGACGGCCTTTCAAATGCGGTTTCTTTGGATGGATTGAATAAGCTTCTTGCTCATCTGCTTATGCTTTCTAAGAGGTGTCCCTTTAAAGATGTGAGAGAGAAAAGTGAGTTTATCCTGAAGAGCGTCCAGGTAAGAAAGAGCGTTTTAAGTACAACTGTTTATCTAGTACAGTGAAGTTTACTTGCAGATATATTCACTTTGTAATTGCTTCAAGTAAGTTGTTATAATTTGAATTACCTTAAATTTAGAACGTAATTTGGGATTAATATTGGACAAGGTGATCTAAAGTAAAAGTAATTTTCAAGTACAACTAAATAAGTATTGTCTTTCTGGACAGTTTTAGCAGAAATGCATTCTTCCTGGGAAAAATATGTGAAAATTACAGTTAATTACAAGAAAATACTTGCTTTTCTTTACATTCATTTTTACATGTTGTTGGAAACTGTAGCCAGTATGCTTTTCATATTGTTACAAACAGTGTTCTATGTGGAAAGTTTCACAGTTTAAAAGCTTCTAAAATGATAAAGGATGTTAAATGTTTCCTCGCCAGCTTGTTCGAGAGATAACTGGTGAAACAATTTTCTCTTGTTCTTAAAAACAAAACAAAAAACCCCAGAATCTGTTTCCTAAATGCAACCTTTCTTTTCTAAAAGAAAGAATTATATAAATAATAAAAGCCCGTGTTGTAAAGGAGCTGACATCTGCAGATTGAAAAATTGGATCCAGGTTGAGTGACTGATAGACTCTTGTGGTCAATTACTTAACTAGCTTTCTCTGTGTTTGCCTAAGTTTGATTCTTTTCTTTCTCACATACATTTCTATTTAAGTTGTAAAATATTAAAAATGTTATAGTTTTCCTTCTGCTTGTACCTATTCAGTTTATCTTTTTTTATTAGAAGGGTTTTTTTTAAGAATAAGGTTTTTTAGAAATTAAGAGTGGTCAAAATGCTCTTTATGTTTCTCTGTCTAAATTACTCAATTCACATGTGTTCAAAGTCATGGTACGATAAGGTTTTTAAATGTATGATTTACTTGGGGGGTATATACCTATATATACATATATATAAGCTAAGATGAACAGTTTTTCTATTCTGGTTTGAATTCAGTTTAAATCAACAAAAAATAGTAATGTGCATAAAACAAAGACTTTAAAATCTTGGATATTTCTTTTCACAAACACAGTGGAAACAGTCATTACAATTTACATTTATTCAGAGTTAATAGAGAGGAATTATTATTCAGCACTTGAGGTTTACCCTTTTAAGCATCAAAAGTTATTTCTCTATCTTAGTGACTACAGCATCCATTTCTTTTTTCATAATGGGGTCATCATTTTGCATATCAAGTACGCACTGTTGTACAGTTGAGGGTGGAATGTATGTATAGGACTCTATGATCCACTTTGAGCTTGTGTGTTCAATTTTTAGTTTTTCTGTTCCTTCCCTTGCTGTCAGTATTCTTCATTTCAGCCTCTTCTTGAATGCTTTATTTTGCTACTTTTAAAAAGTACTAGAATGGGGCACCAGATAGCCAATTTTGTTAAGAGTTAGATTGAACACTGAAGTAATTAGGCTCTGGAGATTACAAGGTCAAAGGATTGACATAATGGTAAGTAAATGGGTACTGGTATCAAACCTGGGCTTAGAGTCTCCTCCTTTATTAATGTAATATATCACCTTGAATGAGTTATTTGACCTCTCTCAGCTTGGATTTCCACATCTATAAAATGGGTATAATAATACAGAGGTCTGTTACTATAGTAAATTAATATTATAGAGGAGATGTAAAATGCCCTATATGTAAGGGATGCTCCTGTCCTCTTCCTTATTTTTTTAAAAACATGTATTTATTTGTCTGCGTGGGTCTTCATTGCGGCACTCAGGACCTTCAATCTTCCTTGCAATATGTGAGTATCTAATTCCCTGAACAGGGACCTAAACCCAGGCCCCCTGCATTGAGAATGCAGTTGTAGCCACTGGACCACCAGGGAAGTCCTTCCTCTCCCCTTTTATAAATGAAATACATGGACTATGTGATATGTATTTTAAGACTCATTCATTCTGCAAAAGGAATCAAGAATCTCTACTATGAAGTTTTCCTGTCAATTCATACCTTCATTTTCATCTCTGCATCTATTGTACATCATTCCAGCCACAATTCTAACAGGCACTTATGTTGGGTTATAATCACATATTCATGTGTCTGTCTCCCCTAGGAGGGCTATAAGTTCTCAAGAGTATTGACTGGGACTTTCAAGCTACTAAATAAATATTGCGTCTTAGTTTGAATTGGTGAAGTTACTATTAATAGATATGGGATTTTCCATTCCTACATCATTCATTCCTGCCTTCATTCAACAAATGTTAATTGAACCCCTGCTGAATGCCATTCTAAGAACTGAGAATCAGTGGTAACAATTTTGACATTCTACTGAAGGGAAATTGACCATAAAGAAGTAAATGAATAAACAATGTAATTTTAGATAATATAGGAAGACTTCCCTGAAGAGATGGCATTTAAGCAGAAATTAATAAGTATTATCCAGGCAAAAATGAGATTGTGAGGGGGACATTCCAGATGTAGGTAATAGTATATGTGGAGGCCTCATGGTAAAAGAAATCAGGTGAATTTAGGAATGGAAGGTAACGCAGTTTGAGGAGAGTGTGAAAGTTTAGATACATGCTAGGAGTCAAAGCTGACTCCAATACTTTATGAACTCTACAACCTTTGGTAAGTTACATAATCTCTCCTTGACTCAGTTTCCTCATCTGCAGAATGAGGATGAGAATAGTTCCTGCTTCACAGTGAGAATAAAATGAAATAATGCTTACAAAGCATAGCACAGTGCCTAGCAAATAGGAAACACCATAAAGCTAGGAGTTCTTACTGTTTTTAGGCAGGAGCCAGAGAACAGAGGACCATGTTAAGAGTTACAGACTTTACCCTAGGATCAATGAGAAGCCACTGAAGGGTGCTGAGCACGATGGTGACATGATACATGGTGTATTCTTCACTTTGGGAGAAATTTGGAGAATGGATTTCAGGGGTCGAGACTGAATGTGCAACAGTAAGGAGGTTGTTCACTAGTCCAAAGCAAAAATGGTGGAGTAGGATGTAGTAGACAAAGTGGAAAAAGGTGACTAGGTTTGGGAGGTAGGTAGGAGTTAGAAACCATTGGATATAGGAGATGAGGAAGTAAAATGAAGGATGGCTCTAAAGTTTCTAGCTTAAACTGCTTGGTGAATAATTAAGTCGTTTCAGGAGACCAGAGTGGTAGAAGGTTAATTTAGGGGAGTGATGAGTTCTGTTTTACACAGGTTGAGATTAAGTTGCCTTTGATAAATCTGATTAGAAATAGCTCTTAAAGGGATTTCTGCCCCTGACAGCACTGTTCTACTTCTGACATTGATACCTCTCACTTTGCCAGACTTAACCCATCCTCCACCTTTCTATCCATCCTCCACTTAATTGCAGCGCTGTCTATTTAAAACAGAAATCTGACCATGTTTCTCTCCTCCTGAAAGCCCCTTAGGTTAGACTCTAAACTCCTAGTGCCCAGCATCACCTGGTCTCCACTTGATGGTGCAGCTTTACTTCTCACACTAGTTTCACAAGGGAGACCAAGTAATGGAGTGCTCCCTAATGCCTTCTGTTGTTCATTAGTAAGCGGCAAAAGCTGAACTGTATTTGCAGTTCTTGCAACTATTCCTGATGGCCCCCTTAATTGCTATAGGTCATGTTGTCAGGGAGAGACGGTAGGATGGATTCAACTCAAAATGATTAAACGTGTAAAAATGGACACTTTGAGAGGTAGCTGTTTGTATTCCTGTTTGTATTCTGTTTGTATTCCTGTTCTCAATTTATTGATTTCAAGTCAACATACTTAAATCTGTTCAACACATTTTTGAGAGCTCTTCTTTGTCAAGCACTGTACTCAGGAGTGAAAGATCAATTAGATTTATTCCTTGCTTTTGAAGAAGGTCTTCTGTTTTCATAGAAGGAATTGTGCTGTTTGTTTAAACCTATAATACGTTTTGGATATGCTTGATTCCCTAAGCATAGAAACAGACTGGCCCATTATACTAATATAGGCTACCTGTGAGCTATGGTCTTTATGATGCATGAAATTAAGAAAGAAAATGTGTGTGTGTATATTCATCAAAACATCATGAGGATTATCTGGAATAGCCAAGTATTTTTCCAAGAATAGTCATTTGATCCTTTTCATTTCTGTACCATGACAAAAGAAAACTTAAACTTTCTTATATGTCTGCCAGCAATGAACATTGTCTGAAAGTAACTTGGCTTAAGGTAGAAAATTTAGACCATGCAACAGAGTATTTGTCTTTGTTATGTGGGATGGAGGAGAAGTTCATTTAGTGAAGTGATTGTTACCAGCGTCTCCCCACCTGCCCAGGGAGAAATGAAACTTTAACTGTTGGGTATGGTGTGCATTTATAGTTGTTAAAGTTGCAGTTGAAGTATCCAGTTGGTATCCATTGGGTAATATATAGCTTGTGGGTTTAACAATAGAGGTTAATAAATCTCTGGTTCACATAGTGAGTCTGGAGGTTGGGCTGTTTCAAGCTTGAATGATTGATTCATTAGCTGAACTACATTACCCTTTTGCCTTTTATCATTTTGTTCACCTTTGCTCAGTGTAGCAAGGGCTGTCTTAGCTCATGGTTGCAAGGTTGCTAGAGCAGTTCCAGGCACCATGTGCAATCATTGAACATTTTCAGCTTAGGAAGAAAAGAGTTTTTTCCTGTATCTATCAGGGAAGAAAAACTTTCCCCAGAAACCATCCAGCAGACGTCTCAATTTCTGTTGAGCAGTGTCACATGCCCTTTACCAAGCCAGTAACTGGCAACGAAACTGGGCATTTCTGTTTTTGGTTTGGATTAATCCACATCCAGCCGCTAAGAGCCGGGAGAGCCCCCATCATGTGAACAAAGATTTCTGTTCTTGAGGAAGAAGAGGGATGGAAGATAGGTTTAGTTAGAGGCTGTCAATAAAACTTATATTTAACTAGGTAATATGGTGCATTGGTCTAGTTATGTGCTTCACTTTCGCTTTTCACTTTCATGCATTGGAGAAGGAAATGGCAACCCACTCCAGTGTTCTTGCCT